CTTTAATAATCAATGGCCTGCATTAAATTTTATGCGGTGTTACCTTAATTTCTCACGGTCGATTTTTGATTTATAACAAATATTACGAATAGCTAAACCCTTTTCTTATTATATGTGACCCCGCGATAAGAACAAATCACGAATGGGACTTAAATGAGCTATAAGAGGAAAGAGTATAACGTTATTTATCAGTAGTTTTATCCAAATTCATATGTCGCAGGAACTTCGTTAACTTGTTTTACATCACAGGAGAGATCGTCGATTATAAGGGGGTTAATTTCACTAGAAAAATGGCAAAATACGTTCAGTGTTTGGAACCTATGACCGAGCAGAGTTGCTTTGTTAAGTGTGGTATTGTGTTAGGGTAACGTAATTATTTTTTAGCGGAGCAAGCACAAGGTGCTATTAATTTTAGATTTTTTCGGCGATCTCGTTTCACTAAGAATGAACTTATCACTGTGAATCGCCATTTCTCCCATACACAATTTCGGACGTAATGCCAATTCGAGTTGGGCTGTAGTAATTTCGGGCAATATGTGAGCGGGTATATAGGAAGTGAGAAGTGCATTAGGCATGATTTTTTTTCTGCTTGAGTATGGATAAAACCCAAATTATAATCTTTGCGAAAAACGTTCTTGATGCGATTCCAGGAACTCTAAATTATAGCGTTGTAGTTCCAAAACCTGGATCCATGTCAGTTATGTGGACAAGTGTTTATTCCATACCCCGCAAGTGAAATCAAAGCATTTACTATGGCCAGCTGTGGATGCCTCTATCATCAAAATGTCTCGAAGGACATTTGCTAACCGTGGGGGCGAGATGTCCGAATATGGAATGCAGATATAAAGATATCGAAACCTCTCTCACTATTAATGAGACAGGGTCGCAAGTTCCAATGGAAATTTCTCCGCTAATGCCAACGCAAGCTTCGCAGAGGGTGGCGCCATTGTTTCCGACTTCAGAGGATGTGTCATTATTTCCAGCTTCACCAAAAAAGCGCATCACTGAATCCGTATCTGTAGAGACCACAGCTAAAAAAGTCAAAAAAACGGGAGAAAAAAAAGCAACCAAAAAAGAATCAAATGCATTGAATCAACTTATCGATGAGTTAATTGGGGTGTCTTCCACGAATTCGGAATCTTCAAGCACAACAACTATTACTGTGGCACCACAAGATATGGAAAAACTTGAGACGCTTATTCCGTTGTATCAGAACATCATCAGTGCCGAATCAGACAATGAAAAAACTAGCCGTGATGTATTTATTACGTTCTTATTATGCTTTTGGATTATATGAACACTACCGAAAATCTAATCCAGAACATACAGCACAGGCGAGAGTTAATGATGATATTAAGAAACAGCTGGGTGAAAAAGTTACTGAGACGACACTTTGGAAAAGAACCGAAAGAGCTAAAAAAATTTACGCTATTTTTTCTGAAGCCGGAGAGGATAAGATCCAAAAAGTTAAATCATTAACAGCTAATGCTATATCTAAATTACCTTGGGCTAGTATAGACTATATCGTTATCAATATTTCGAAAAAGAAACAAAGCATTTCTTGATATATATTGCGCTACATGTCACGTGACATCATGACCGGGCGGTCAGCGACTTTGCTATTTTGTTCCATGTACACACCTCAACTAAATAAACTACATATCAATTAAGTTATAATTTACCCGAATTATGGGTTTTATTTGTAATAGCCGAAAAATAAATGTCCAAGACATTAGCTTCGTTATATATTAATAAAAGTTGCAACTCCGTTGCTTGCATCTATATGCAGAACATATAGATTATTAAAGTTAATATGCGCAGATAATAAATTGTTTTTTGTGAAATGTTTCCAAGAAAAATTCTCTATACGTATCAATAAAATAATTAAAGCATAGCAGAAGTTCGTTTTGATTGGTTGTTAAAATACCCCGGAAAAATGTTGACCATACCTCTACAGGTAGGAACGTCCCAAATAAGGGGGACGTCTAAAGCCGTGTCCAGTCACGTGTTTTTTGTTTTTAATTAAAGTTAGGGTAAGGGTTAGTTTGGGTTAGGATCAGGGCATGTCTTATAGTAAAATTGTTTTCCCAGCATTTTTTATTAATGCACCAAGATGGGTTTAGACTATCGTTTCTTGTATTTTTTGCGATTTTCACTTTTTTTCGCT